ACTTGTGGGATTATTCGGATTATTCATCATAAATTCAATACATAACCTCGAAAACAACGTTGATGTGTTTTATCGTGCAACCCCACACCTGAGCTGTAGTAAAAGACGAAATAATGGTGGAGGGATACTACTTTTGGTTGCCACGATAAAATCAAACAACACTAATCGACTAATTAACGTTTAATTAAGCAAACTTACGGGGAACATAATTGTGCGTCTTCATCCCGACATAATCATGGGAGAAGAGCGCGATACCGCCAAAATTAGACAGGAGCATACCTGGCAGTATTGACACATAACGGATGTCACTAACGTCAGATGCCAAGCAACGTTGCCAAACATGCAGAGTAGCAACAAATAGAGGAAACGCGCCAAATTCAAAAATGCTTAAAATTTGACTACATATGAAAGCCATGTATTTTTCTCTTCCATGCAAGAAACTTATGGAATTTTTATACGAGGTAAGAAATAACTTAGATTTGTCTTCAGGTATATAATTTTTAGGTTCCTTCTTTGTTACAGGTACCTAACACTTACCAGAAAATCAAAAAGGAGAACGGAATTTTATCTTCGTTCATGCCACTTTTTCTAGAAAGGAATGTTTTGCTTACTATGGATACATTTATAAGCCGTTTTTTTAATCGCCTTTTTACAGGCAGTAATCCCTTTTGAGCAAGATTATGCAGGGATTTGTATTTCTATGCCTGGTATGACTTCAAATTTTGTTCGACTCTGTAAAAGTGATGTTTTGTCGTAGAGCTTGTTTTTGTGGTAGGTAGGTATGAGATTTTCAGGAAGCAATTGGCACATGAATGGGCTTACAAATAGAGGAATACTCGGAGGAATAATAAAAAAAAGTCTTACCAGCAGTCTTACACAATTTCAGATATTGGTAGAAGATCCAAGAGCTAGTAAAAGAAATGCAAATCGCTAGATACCTAAATGGAATGCTCTACTGCATTGGTGGATATTATTATTGCACAAATATGCAAGAACACAAAGGGAAAAACTTTAATTTTAGCACTTTCCACCTTTTGTAAATAAATTTTAATAATTATTATTGAAGCTTTTTATTTTTTCAAAGACATTTTGTCCTACAAAACACGATCCAATTTTTTTATGTATACCTAGGTACGTAAAATAGATACTCTATTTATTTTCAATGGAAACTAATGGTACAGCATGCTTTGTGCCTATTATTTTATAAACCAATAATAAAAAACAAAACAAATACACGAGGTGAGAAGGAGGTTCTTGTTGTCAATAGGCTTTTTTGGAAACGCTGAACAACCTACATCAGCTGCTGCTCCAACGGTTCCGGTTTTCCGAAAACGCCTAATTATGACATCACGAATTGACTGGTGGCGCCATCTTCGAAAAAAAGCCTGAACTATATTTGCCAAAAATATCTGTAATTTTATTCCAAAATCGGTTTTAGACTACAAAAAAAAACGGCACATCAGAATTTGCTGAAATTTGGCATAAACATTCTTTGATCGATTATCTAGAGAATAGTGCTCTTATTTTTTCGATTTTTACCGTGGATTTTTCTATTTTTGGGAAATAGTTCATTTTCACAATATAGGCCAAAAAAAAATTCGAAATATGGAAAATCTAACTGCACTATTCTCTAGATAATCGATCAAGGAATGTTTATGCCAAATTTCAGCAAATTCTGATGTGCGGTTTTTTTTTGTAGTCTAAAACCGATTTCTGTATTTTGTATCGTGTGCATGGGAGCGATGTTGTCCCCTTAAATAAAATTATTTTGACCTTTTTCGTTTTGTAAAAAAAAAGTTATTCAAACTGTTTCTTATTATTTTAGATAAAATTGAAGCAAGCATCACAGGAGGTGGGACCGCAGAAACCAAATTCATGAGTTTCAGTAGGGCAAACCTACTTACCATCGAAGGCCAAGAAATAGAAAGAGTGGATAAATACGTCTATCTGGGGCACCAGATCAAGCTTGGGAAAGAGAACCAAAAGGCTGAAATTACCAGAAGAGTGAGCATAACCTGGGCAGCATTTGGAAGGTTGCGCTTTGTCCTGAAAAATCCAGATATTCCTATAAACATGAAAAGAAAAGTGCATGACATGTGCATACTCCCTGTACTGACGTACGGCCTGAAAGCCATGACACTAACCATAAAAATTGCAAACAAATTGAGAGTCGCTCAGAGGGGCATAGAACGCGCAATGCTAAGCATTAGTCTGAGAGACAAGATAAAAAACTACGATATACGTCTACGCACGGGTGCGAATGATATGTGATCCACTGCATAGCAGAAGCAAAGTGGAGATGGGCAGGCCACGTGGCGAGGCAACCGAACAACAGATGGAGAAAAATAGTAATGAGGAATGGAAATAATGTTCAGCTTTCTTGGACTAATTTATTAAATTTGAAAATCAAATAGCCAACGTTTCGATGCTGGTTAGCATCATCATCAAGGCCAGATTATTCTAATTAAAACTGCAAAACGTTAAAAATGTTAATATTATGGACTACCATCATTGCCGCAAAAATCTAAGGTACCTTAAATTTTATACTGTTTTTCGAGATATACCCGGACTAAGGAACTTGACTGTGGTGCCGCTATTGGTCGAGACAAAATAATGATAGCGGAGGATTGAGGTTTTTTGATACCTTGTAAACCCATTGCTATGGAAATGCATCGACAACTCATTTAGGATTCTAAGAAATCAGGTACTTGTTTACGTCATGCAGCGCGCCTTTTCTGGAAATTCTATTATATTCTATTCGATGTTTTTCTAGATAGATCCAGAGTCCTATTTCGACTATAAATAGCGCCTAGTAAAAAGGAAGATAGATCTACCAGATTTTGCGCCGAATACTAAAGCTTAACGATGTCACCAAGAAAGACAGCTACTCATTACCCAGAATTGACGATACCCTCACGACATTGGCAGACGCAAATTGGTTTTCTACTTTGGATTTGAAAAGCGGGCACTTACAGGTAAGCATTAAAGAAAAAGACAATGAGAAATAGGGTTCTTCACCGGAAGTGGTCTTTACCAATTCAAGGTAATGCCTTCTGGACTAAAAAACGCCTCCGTTACTTTCGAGAGATTGATGTTAATCGTATTAAGAGGACTGACGTGGAAAGTATGCCTTTTATCTTGTTTGAGTTTTAGAAGAAGTTCATAATAGGACATCAGGAGCTCACTTGGAAGTCAATTTTATTGCCAGGATGTCAAAACATGTGCGACATGCGCAGCAATTCGAGGACTCAACACACGATCCAAGGGACAAATGAAGCATTACAACGTGGGGACGCTTTTCGAACGAATGGCGATCGACATAGCCGGTCCATTCCCTGTGACGCGCAGTGAAAACAAATACATCATGGTTGCCATAGATTATTTCAGCAAGTGCCCTTAAGTTTGCGCTAATCTAAATCAAGAAGCATCTAAAGTTGCAAATGTCCTCGTCGATAATGTTTTTACTAGGTTTGGAATCCCATTGGAACTTCATTCGGATCAAAGACACAATTTCGAATCAGCAGAACCACGGCATTGCATCCACAATCAAATGGCATGGTTGAGAGATTCAACAAGACCATCAAGGAACATTCCACCAAAGTTTTTAACAAGCATAAGGAATATTGGGATGAGCATATACCTCTACTTCTGATGGCATGCAGGTCAGCCGTACATAAAACAATCGGAATATACATAACTCGTGTTTAGCGGTTTACCAGATGTCGCTGACATGGAAGCTGAAGACTATGCTGACGATCTGCGAAAAAGGCTGTTTGACATACATGACATAGTTCGCGAAAGGAAAGAGTTCGCAAGTAATCGAACGAAAACGGGATATGATCTTCAGGCGAATTCTACAGGTTTCTAGGCGAAAGACAAAGTTTGGCTCTATAACCCTCAAAGGAAAAAAGATAGATCCCCCAACCTGAACAGTTTGGGAAGGCGCGGATATGATTATTAAGAGGACTAAACGAAGTGGTGTATCGAATCCAATGCAGCCTCAAAGGTAAGCTGATGGTGGTACAGTCAGGTTGAAGGCTTATCAGGAGAATAAATGGTCACATCGGGACGATCTGATCTAGAAGGGAGGCAGAGTTTGTTTAATAAATAAGGTTGCAACTGTTTGTACAGTGCATTTTATTGAACCCGGAATCCGTGATACTATTATCAAAAACTCTCCGAACAATAAATATAAAAAGTTTTTTTTTGTCGAATTACAAATAAATTGAATGGAAGTACAAAAATATGCAGAAAAAAAACATCGGCAGCTCTGTCTGTGTACATTTTAAAAATTAAGAAATATTGAAAATAATAATTATTATTGGTCCATCAACTTAAACTCTTTTATCAAAACACTCTTGAAATTTTATTTTGTTGTTTCTTTAATATACGTAATAGATGGGGCACATGATATTGTTTTTTTAGATATCAAAATTTTTAATAAAACTCTTGAAGATAATGCCAGTTTTCCACAATAGGCAATTTGAAAACATTCTCATTAAATTTTAAGCCTGCAAACAAATAGTGACGATGAAGCTTTCTTTAAAGCACTTCATAGATTAAAGTTCAGGTATCTGACAAGCTACTAGACTTATGTAAGAGTGGATCACCTAAATAGTGTGGCACACTTTTTTTTATTATTGTGATATTAATTTTAAATCGAGAATGAGGATGATTTTAGTGTTTTTTCTAATTTTTTCAGATATTGCAATGTAATTTTAACATATTTGATTAGTTTTTTATATCCTATTCACAATCCGTAGTCCAATGGTAAAGCTAAATTTATCACCTTTCCCTATCAAATATCACTAAAAGGTGATAAATTTCACCTTTAGCTTTGGACATCGGATTGTTAATAGATAATACTTATTGTTTAATTTTTAGTTCTTTACAAGATGAAGTAATCAGCAATAGACGCTTTCCCGAATCTTTCAAATTTGGCGTTGCTAGCAGCTTACCAAATTGAAGGTGCTTGGAACGAAGATGGTAAAGGAGAAAATATGTGGGATAGATTTTTGCATGACAATTCAAGTATGAACATCATTTTCAATTAAGTTGCTTGCTATATCCTCGATAACTTCAGGTAGGACTGAAGATGGAAGAAATGCCGACATAGCATGTGATTCCTACCACAAATGGCAAGAAGATGTTCAATTGTTAACACATTGACTGCCAAGGCCAAATCCTGAATTATTCGCTGGGGGCCAAAGTTGTATTTTCGTATTTTTTGGCTTTTCTTTTATTTTACAGTGAAAATTTACTTATAATTCTGTTTGGTTTTTATTTTTTTGGCTTTTTTGCATTTTTTGTTGTGTCATTCATAAATGAATGACGCGGCCCCCTGGAAAACTTTGACGAAATTTTATCGCACCGGCCACGTCATTCATATGCGAATGAGACAACAAAAAATGCAAAAAAGCCAAAAAAATTAAAACCAAACAAAATTATAAGTAAATTGTCATTGTAAAATAAAAGAAAAGCCAAAAAATACGGAAATACAACTTTTAGCCCCCAGCGAATAATTCATGATTTGGCCTGTTCCTTTTGTAAATTATAACTTCTAGTTGGGGAGCTGGCGTCAAAAACATGCAAGAGTTTTCGCAAGGCGGATATTTTCAAAATAGGTCGTACTTTAGTGTTAGAATGCTAGTGTACAGTCAGCACTCACAGTTCCGGGACAGCTGGCACTGGGACGCGGGCAAAGTTGTAATTTCAAGAAGCATCTAAACTGTTTTCTCAAAGCTCAAAATTTATAGAAATTTTGCACATTATCTGTTTGAAGGTCACAGATAACGTATGTAAATCGTCAGACGTCTAGTTCGTTGCAAAAAGGGGGTCAGACGTCCTCAAAGTTTTTATTTTATGGCATTTTCTTCGGTGTCCTGTCAAAATATATTTTTGCAGGTATTTGACAAATATATTTGAAGAAAATGCCATAAAATAAAAACTTTGAGGACGTCTGACCTTCTTTTTGCAACGAACTAGACGTCTGACGATTTACATACGTTATCTGTGACCTTCAAACAGATAATGTGCAAAATTTCTATAAATTTTGAGCTTTGAGAAAACAGTTTAGATGCTTCTTAAAATTACAACTTTGCCCGCGTCCCAGAGCCAGCTGTCCCGGAACTGTGAGTGCTGACTGTACACTAGCATTCTAGCACTAAAGTACGACCTATTTTGAAAATATCCGCCTTGCGAAAACTCTTGCATGTTTTTGGCGCCACCTCCTGGACTATTCATATTTCATCATATACACATAATACATCATATATCAGGAAGAATTAGTTTTTTTTTTTGTGTTTGACAGTTTTTTACTTAAAATTATACCTATTTTAAGTAAATTTTTGGTTTCATTGGTCTTGGACAATAACCCAACAAAATTTGCTCTGGCCAAGTTTACCTTGAGAATCCCCAGGGGCCACGCAAATATATCTCCACTTAAATACACAGGCTGTCATACCTAAATGCATGACATGGCCTAGAAGTGAATCTGAACTGTCATACAAATATGAATGACGCGGCCGGAACGGAAGTGGCCGTGTCTTTCATAAATGTATGACGTGGTAGTCAATGTGTTTTAAAGGAACTCGGTGTAAAAATTTACAGGTGAAATTTAAAACACATAAGTACAAAAAGGTATATCACTAAATAATGTAAACTTCATCAGATTCTCCATTTCTTGGTCCAGAATTTTACCAGATGGAACAACTAACAAAATCAATCAAGCTGGTGTAGATTATTACTCAAATCTCCTTAAAGTGAGTAGATTTTTTAAAATCTAATTTTGATATTTTTAATAATGGTTACATAGGAACTTGAGGCCAATAATATCGAACCTCTAGTATCCCTCTACCATTGGGACTTACCACAGCACTTGAGCGAACTTGGTGGTTGGCTGAATCCACAAATAGCAGATTATTTTGGCGAATATGCCAGATTATCGTTTAGACTATTTGGTAAATATGTAAGACAATGGGCAACAGGTATTACAATAATCGTAACCAAACTTCAAGAATAAATTTTATTTATTATTAATAGTAAACGAACCGAAATCCACTTGTCTTTTGGGCTACGGTAATGACTTTAACGCTCCTGGATTGGTATTAGTTGCCGATGGTGTTTATCAATGTGCTAAGATTCAACTTCTCGCCCATGCTAAGGCTTGGCATATTTATGATGATGAATTTAGAGCTAGCCAAGGAGGTAGGAACATATATCTGGACGTTTGATCTTGTTCACAAAGCCAAAATCTAAATGCTTGAATGCAAATGGGTAAATATAATTGTTTTTTTTTTTCCAAGGAAGAATCAGTTTGGTCTTAGACTCACCATGGACCGAACCAGCAAGTGATAGTGACTTGGATAAGGAAGCAGCTGAAAGAGAAATACAATTTGGGGTAAGACATGTGCTCCTTATTTAATTTCAGGTACACTTTTAAATTATAATAAATATTATATGTCGTTAAAGACACCTTTTATTCTAATCCTTCAGATAATCTAATTTTATTTTAGTTTGGTTGGTTTGCCAATCCTGTTTATATTGGAGACTGGCCTCAAGTTATGAAAGAAAGAATAGCCAACAGAAGCAAACTAGAAGGCTTGGGATTCTCCAGGTTGCCGGAACTTACACAAGCTGAAATCGATTATATAAATGGCACCCACGATTATTTTGCACTTAACATGTAAGTGTCATTAGACAATCGGTTGTAACATGAATCACGATATTTTTTAGCTATACTGGTACATTGGTTGAATTTATCCCAGACGCCCATATCGGTACTCCAAGTTATAAGTCAGACAAAGGTAACAACGCGTACAGGTAATAATTTATTGGTAATTTTGGAAAGGGTTCCGTGAAATTTTTTTTTAGTGATCCTTCATGGCCGGAATCATCAACAGATTGGTTATATTACTGGCCATTGTCAATGCGAAGACTTGTTAATTATGTCAACAAAAAATATTCACCTGGCGAAATATTTATCACTGAAAATGGTTGGGCTGATACTGGTGGAATTGATGATCAAGATAGAGTCCGTTATTTTAAAGTAAGAGTTGTAATTTTTAAATTATTATCTGATAGGCAATATTCAATTTAGGGATACTTGAGCAACTTGCTAGATGCGATTCTAGAAGATGGCATTAACGTTGGAGGATACACTGCATGGAGTCTTCTGGATAATTTCGAATGGGCTGCTGGATATACGTAAGATTTCAAAACTTCGAATTTTAAATGGTGATTTATTGCTTGAACTTTTTTAGTCAAAAATTAGGACTTATCTCAGTTGACCATGACAGCCCCAACAAAACCAGGGCCTGGAAAGCATCTGGAAGATACTACCAGCAAGTCGTGCAGACTAGGTGTTTGGTGGATACTTGCGTCGAATGAGTTTTATCATTCGTGTTTTATTTTCAAATCAATATTTGGAAGTTAGTTTCAATTTTTTTTTTGTTTATAGCAATAAGTTGAATAAAGGTCTAGTATGCTATTATCAATTTGAAATTATGGAAGTTTATGTTAGTTATATTTTTCTATCACTTCTCTGGGTTGCCATTTACGTCTTCTAGATAACAGGTTTTGGAGGCAATGGGCATGGATTCTGTTTATTTGATGTTGTTGTTTGTTGTACCCCAGGCCTAAAAGAGGCCGATTAAAATAGAACCAAAATTTGAAACCATATAAATATCTATTCATTTATACAGGAATATGTATAAATTGTGTGTTAATTAACCTAAGATATCAGTAGCAGGTACCTTCGGCGCGCAATTGACCTGTACCCCATAATTCAAATACTAAAAACAATGTAGGTACTCCAATTCTAATCATAAAAAATCTCACTTGAAATTTGTTTTGGTATATTAAACGTATGTTTTTTTTTTGGAACATTTGATAAGTTTAATTTATTCCAACATGACTTGGCTCAAAGTGCCAATTTTTCTTTTTCTCACATCCTGGTAAGTATAATATTTTTCAAATTTTCTTATTTCATTCAGACCATTTGAAAACCTTAAATTAGTGCTCTAGGATCTGAAAGTTATACACCAATTCCTGACTCTTTGCGAATTGGTGTGGGTTCATCAGCTTATCAAGTTGAAGGAGGGTGGGATGCGGACGGTAAAGGTGAAAGCTGGTGGGATTCTTCCTTGAACGACGGCACAAGTGAGTAACTTACCAAATTGGTTATTCAAACTATTAACAAATGTTCAAAAGGCAAAACCGCCGATGGCAAAAATGGTAACGTAGCTGGAGATCAGTACCATAAATGGCAAGAAGATGTACAAATTATGAAGGATATTGGCGCGCAATATTATAGGTAAGATTATCAAAAAATTAATAACACTGTCAGAATTAAGTTTTCTTCTTTAGATTCTCCATATCCTAGGCCAGAATTTTACCTACAGGATTCGCTAATGTTACAAATCAAGCTGGAATTGATTATTATTTAAACCTTCTCAAAGTAATAATTAATAAGTGAATAAGTCGGGTTTATATCATCTGTATCATATTTCAGGAGCTCAAAGCAAATAACATCGACGCAGCGGTAACTTTGTATCATTGGGAGCTTCCGGAAAATCTGGAAAAATATGGTGGATGGTTGAACGAAGAAACTGCCGAATTTTTTGGCGACTACGCTCGAGTGGCTTTTGAACGTTTTGGTGATTACGTCAAGTATTGGCTGACTATCAATGAACCACATGTATTTTGTCTTGGAGGGTAAACATTTTCCGTTTTCATATTTATAATTTTTCAAATTGAATGATTGTAGATATGGTTCTTATCATGGCATGGGTTTTATGTGTCCAGCACAGTCCGATGTAAACGTTACCAAAATCTACCAGTGTAGCAAAGTAGCACTTCTGGCACACGCCACTGCCTATCATATTTATGATACTGAATTTAGAAAGAAACAAGGAGGTAAAATTACTTTGGTCACTGATAGTTCTTGGTATGAACCCATCTCCAACAGTACAAAATATTTAGAAGCGTGGGACAGACAAATGCAATTCCAATTAGGTTGGTTTGCTCATCCTGTTTATATTGGTAACTGGCCACAAGTGATGATTGATCGTATTGGCGAAAGAAGCAAAGGAGAAGGTTTTGCTCAAAGCAGACTTCCTGAACTTAGTCAACAGGAAATTGATTTTATTAGAGGGACATTTTATTTTTTTGCATTAAACACGTAAGGACATAATATTTCTTAGGAAAAAATTGTTAAATAATTGAGCTTTTGAATTCTAGATATTCAAGTACATTGATTGGATGGGCAGATGACGCACCGATTTCAACCCCAAGTTTCGATTTGGATTGCTGTGTGTTTAGCTCATCTGATCCTTCGTTGACTGTCGCTGAAGTTGGCTATGTAGTTTCTTGGCCTTTGGGCATTAGGAAGCTAGTGAACTGGATCAATGACAACTATAATCCTAGAGAAATATTTATTACTGAAAATGGATGAACCAGTGGAGATTATTTAAACGATACTGATAGGATTGAGTATTTAAATGTGAGAGAAATAAAAGCTAATAATTATTTATCTATTATCTGTGAATTTTTTGTTAGGGTTATTTGCAGAACGTTGTGGACGCCGTTACCATAGATAATGTTCCTGTAACCCATTACACGGTTTGGAGTATAATTGATACTTTCGAGTGGGGCAGCGGATACACGTAAGTTTTATAATCTAAGATGGTTTCCCCTAATATGTACCTATTTCTTTACAGAGTCAAATTTGGAATTATTGCCAGAGTCGATTTTGATAGCGATGAAGAAACGAGGACATACAAAGATTCTGCTTATTGGTTTAAAAACGCTACTACAAACAGATGCTTGAATTGTTGAAATATTTAAATAAATCTACTAAGAAATAAATGAATAGAAAACAAAGTCCTTACACTTTAATTTGTGATGGGAAATTTTATCACGTACAGAGTTAAGAAGCATTTGAATTGTCCAAAATTACTTCCATTGATCTCACGTGACCTGAGATTGTTTCAACCTAGTTCTGTTAGATTCGTCATTATGACGTGCCGGATGATTTTTATTGTTTTAAACTTGGTGATAATTAGTTCTACAATTTGTTGAGCATTAACTTTATAAATAGTCCGAAAGAATAAAATCTAGCCAGAGGATTCAAATCCGGTGATCATTTTTGGCCAATAGTATAGGTCCAAATGTCTATCATCATCATAGGCGATCACTCGTAAACGAGTATGATTATCTTCTATTTTATTCTTGTTGTCATCAATTGTGCGTTTTTTGACGGTTATATAAACCAATTCTGGAGCCGCACACTCTTCCACAGTCTTAGCACACCCAGCCTCTGGCAACATTGTCTCTTACTCTATTCTCTCGTTCCTTCTTCTTTTCGGTCGCGTGTCTATGTCTGTTCTCCAAAAGTTTGTGGTCCGTCGTCGATTAGGTACTCGACGCCATGAGGGCCTATTATTTGCGTTTCTGCTGACCTCCCTGATGTCGATTTTTCTCTTTCAGTTGACTGTAGATATTCTATCGTGGAAGTAATGTTGGTTGCTCAATGATGAGGGTTCGGTTAACCTTCACTCTTCAGTTGGTGTTAAAACTAGGCTCAGTTTTGAATGTATTGGTCCGAAAGGACTGCATAGGGTCCGAAACGGTAAAAGCTGATCGCCTAGGCGGACTTCTCCGGTACCTAAGTCTACATGGAACTGGTGGCGGTTTAAAATATCCATTCCAAGCACGATTTTGGCTGTCAACTTTGGGAAGTAACTGAGGGATGCCACCAGGGTAATATCCCTGAATTTTAGCGGTATCTGGTAGGCTTCGGTGATGTCAATTATATTACCATTGGCTACCTTAGCACTGCGGACAACCGGTGGTACTGCCGGATAGTTGTTTAGACGGCATATGTCGGCAGCGATGTCCCCTATATACGAATTAGCAGCTCCGGTATCTATCGCTGCTAAAAACGGGGCATCATCAATGTAGATGCATACATGGGGTCTAACATGTGGGAGTTGAATCAAGTTCATTTCGTTCGAAGTGGTTCGGGGATTATGTGAAGTCTCTGCTGAGGGTTCTGGGCTGACCTCCGACTAAGACAGCACCTTCTTAGTTTCCCGAATGCGAACGGTTGCAAGCGTAGTCTCGAGACATTATTCCACTTTTTCCGCAACGGGAGCAGAATAGCTTTGCAGTGCCTCGACACTCGGTTCTAAAGTGTCCGGTTTCCCCGCATCTCCAGCAAATCTCTCCTCCGGCTCGGTCATCTGCGTTGTCGGACCTATGGTTTCGATTGCCAAATTCCATTTTATTACTAATCCTTTCTGTCCTGTCTGGTATACGGGGTGCATCAAAACATTATGCCACTCAATCTAGCCATATCCCGAAAATCTAACCAATCAAATTCGATGTGGCTATTTTGAGCGGCATAATGTTACTACATGGGCTAGATCAGGGGTCAGAATGTCGGGACGGCCTGTTGCACTTATCCGTTAGAAGTGCCGCATGTTTTGTTTTGTTTATTTTCCGCTCATTGCTCTCTTGAAATTTATGCGAAGAAATTTTTGAATAAAACTACCCACAACGTTTGTTTATTCTTAACTGAGTGAAAACATTTATCGTGCAAACTTGTTATCCGAAAACGACATAAAAATTTGGATTAAAGATTTACCCCCTCAGATAATAAAAAAGGAAAATCAAAAAATTCGGACTGCAGAGCAAATATAAAAATTCGTATTAAAATAACAACGAAAAACACGATGACTATATACAGGGTGTCCCTTAAGTGATGGTAAATATTTTGACAACCGATTTTATATATAAGGTCTGTTTCTGCAGAAATCACAAACCAGTCAGAGTAAATTTCATTGGTTGAAACTAGTTTTCTGACTGTTTTCAACCAATAAAATTCGCTCTGACTGGTTTGTGATTTCTGCAGAAACAGACCTATATAGATACAAAAATATTGACATTGTCAAAGTTTCCCAGAAAAAAGTCAGCGGCCATACAAAGATACAGGGTGATGAAGTTGATTTAGTTTTTTTTTTTTTTAAATTTGGGTCATTAATTTCGCAATTACATGTCTGTCCTTTTGCTTTTGAATTTTGATTTGAGTTTGAAGGTTTTGCTTCTCATTCTACACCTGGTCATCACCTGGTGCAGCTTGGTGTTACTTTGCATTTGGTGCAAATGTACAAGCATAGCTATTGAATCGACTGTCAATAAAATATTTACCATTACACTTGGGACACCCTATACATACATTATACTTACAGGGTGCTAAAAATGCGAATTATGAAGAGATAAAAAACTGTTTATTTCATCATAATTCACATTTGAGATTTATGAAATTTCAAATACATAGTTACATACGTATGTAGAGGGTGTCCCAGCTTAAACGAAGCAGATGTATTTCCGGCCAAGATATAATAAATCTAAATTTAACCCCTTGTATCCAAAATGGATATATTTCCTAGTTCCTCTGTTTCAATCAAAAAACTAACAATTTAATCAATATATTCATGAAAAAAATTCATAGGGAACACAAATAAAATCTAAATTTCTGAATTTTATATAACACGTACAAAAGACATAGTGTTTTTAATATCAAACATTGTGTTTTAAATTTAATACTAATGCTCTACCGCCTGTAACATTCTGACCCTGAATCTAGCCCATGTAGTGACATTCTGACCCTTTAAATAGCTCCAGCATCGTCCCGACATTCTGACCCCTGATGCAGTGCATGTAGTAACATTATGCCACCCAAAATAGCCACTTCGAATTTGATTGGTCAAGTTTACGGGCTATGGCTAGATTGGGTGGCAGAATATTTTGATGCATACGGGGTTGTGTTACGGAAAGACCAGCTGGGAGTGAATTCGCTCTTCGGGAAGTGAACGGGACGACCTTTAGCTCGGATAGTAAACTTTCAATTTCCCTTACGGTGCGGTAAAATGAAACCACATCGGTAACGTCACTTTTGCGAATATGTTGTCAGTAGTCGGCTAATAGATTCCTGTACAACCACTGAAATTTTTGTTCCGGAGTTATGACACCGTGCCTTCTGATTAGGGTCTGCAGATCGTTTATATAACGGTGAGGCGGTTAATGCGGTTTCTGAAGGCGGCAATTAATTTCGATCTCTAGGTCGGCGGCATAATTATTCGGACAATAAAAGCTTCGGAAATCCCGCAGGAAATTGTCTCAGGAATTTTAGTGTGCTCGGTTATTTCTGTACCATAGGGATGCATCACCCTGTAAAATTTCAGGCATTTTGCGATAATAAACGATCTATTGCAATCCCTTGGAAGGCACAAATTTCCTGGAGTCTTTTGATGCAGGTCACCGGGTCAGTTCGACCATTGAAATTGACATTCCATTTCTCTACCTTAAGTGGTATTATAGGAAATCCGGATGGACTGGAGAAGACAGCAGTTCTTGAATGGTAATAGTTGGTATCGGCGGATTAAGTATTTGAGTTGTACCCGGTGTTCCAACATTTGCGCTACTGGTCTGAGACAGGACAGCGGTACCACTTCCTTGCGTCGTTTGCATACTAGAACTGTTCGGGAAGTTGAACCCTGTCATAATAGTCGGTGCTGGGGAAGGCTTTAGCTGGCGATAGAAGGTCATCAGTCGCTTCTTCAACATGTCAATGGTACCCGAAGTGTCTAGTCCAAACTTATTATTAGTTCCGTAGTTGGCGTAGTTAGTTCGTCCTTCTTCAATAGGTAAAAAAAACTCACACAGCCATCGTTGGGATCATACCAAGCGGGGTAAGTAGTTCTGGATACATTAACGGGCGGATTCACCGAACTGGTTGTCACCACGGTAGAGGCGGTGGTATTCGGTGAACTAGTAACCGGTGGGTTGGTTGCCATTGTTGCCGGTGCCTTTTGGCATTGTAACTCTGCGTTAACGGTAGAGGAATACAGAATAAGAGCGCAAATGACAACGGCCTTCAGCGATTAGTTAACAGCAGATTCGTTAGCAGCAGGCTAACGGTTACACTCGGCGGTACAACATGGTTAAGATTTGGAATGTTTTAGGCGGCGTTCGGTACTATAAAGTCTTTCTGAGGGATCAGGTGGACGATTGTAGCTAGAGTCTCCAAGTGCTCAGGGCCGGTATTCTGGTTCTCAAAAACGCTCACCGCTTTCTAGTCGCTCAGCACTTTAAATGCAAATTTACATTGAAAGTGCCGAGCGACTGAAAAGCGGTGAGCGTTTTCGAAAACGAGAATACCGGCCCACAGGTCAATGGTGCGACGGTAAGTATGAAAATATTCAGGTGGACGGTTGGGTCTAGAGTTACCAAGTGATCAGGCTGACGGTGTGACGGTAAGTCTTTTGGAGTATTCAGGAGGACGGTTGGGCCTAGAATCTCTTGAAGTGCTCAAGCTTAATGTCTGAATCTGACATTTTCCGTATGACGAGCGAGGGGTGAAGTATATGGTAAAAGCAGGTGTGACGTCAGGTGACCATGGGCGTTCTAACGTAGGGAACCACCAGCTCACATTTTTTTTCTGTATCAGATTAAAATCGACATACTTTAATCGTCTTGCTATATACTCCCTTGAGGTAATGAGGAGACGTTCGGCCACCAAAAGTTAGTGGGGAGTTTTCCAGAAATCCTCGGAATTTTGAGAAATGCAACCTGCGTGAGATACAATTTTTCCCTCTGGGGAATTAGACTCGGCAACCTCGAATTATTCGCAAAAACTTTGTAACTCAGTTTTCATATTTGCGCATGCGCAAAATAAATCGGCCGGAAAAGGGGTCCGGAATAGGTGGATCGGCTTTCGGAGAGCGCGGATTCGTGAAAATGGCAGCGGGCGGTTGGATTGTGTCTGACTACAT